AATTTTATTGTTACATAGTGTAATCCTTGATCATGGTTAGCACTATTAGTAACTATCCGGTATCCGGCCTATCCGGCATTTTTAAACTACCCCCATATTATTGACTTTTAAAAATACAAAGCACTTTTTGCTGCTTTACTAGTTATGACTATTTTCACTGTTTAAAGAAAAATATGGTCTAAATGTAGACAAACCCCAACCTGGATTCAAAAAACATAATGACGGTAACACCACCAGTAATTTTTTTTTCAAAACTGTCTGCACTGATAAGTTATCAGTGATGACCATGTAAAAGTTCAGACTTTGCGCCCCTATAACTCGGCAACCAGTCATACTTACCGACCCCCTTTTACACAAAGAATGTATAGTTGAATAGTCTACTAATTTTACCGTTTTATTAAAATCCGAGTTAAAATTATTTTGTATTTGAATCTATTCATTTTATAAAAAAAAATTAATTTCGTGTTTTGATTATTTTTAATGATGTTAACTCATTTATTATTATTATTTGATTTTTTTTAGATTAAAAATGTGCATAAAACTATTCTTCTTGGGTGTTTTTTTTTCGAAATTAGCAGAATTCAATGGAGTACCTAGTTGTACTAAAATACAAAAAAGCAAACAAGACCAAAAATAATTTTTAATAACATTTCTGAAATGAAATTTCAGCATAAAAACGGACATAATCAACGGCCTTAATATTCTTAATTTTGGTCGTATTCAGAATGAGTGATCAGGGGTCTCTCGGAACATAATATTTAAAACAACATAACATTTAAAAAAATTAAATGCGAAAAATTAACCATGACCTTTAAATTGGAGTACTCATTGGTATTTAAAATGGTTTAAAGGTATTTTGTATTTAAATACCAATAAAGTAATAAAAAAATAAAAACATTCCAAAAATGTTTATCTTTTTATCTTAATAAATTTCATAACATAAAACAAGGTTTTTAAAAGTAAATTTATATTGCATTTGAAAAATTAATTCTATCCCTAGTAGCAATGGAATTGGACAAGATTCTTTGTCAAGATACTTGGAGAAGCACTTTGTAAAGAATTGGACAATTCTTGACCAAGACTCTTAATCAAAATTCTTTATCCAGACTGGTGGCAGACTTGGACAAGTCTGTGACCAGAATATGACCAGATTCTTGGCCAAGAATTTTTACACGATTACACGTTAAATAGGAACTTTCTATTCAAGATTTTTGTTGAACTTCAAAGTTAAGAATGTTACTAAAAACATTAATTTTCCACGATTTCTTTCCAGTAAATTCGGTTTTTATCCATAAATCTGGTAAACAATAGAATTAAAAACGAAACAAATTTTGAAAGAGTTAAAGTTTTTAATTTTCTATGTTACTGTAGAATGAGAACCTCTACTCTATAGGATAGTCCCAAAGTTTAGCAATAGATGGCCTCAGATTTCTGGTCAAATTCTTGTCAAATTCTGGCCAAAGTCTGGCTCAAGTCTTGCCCAATAATCTTGGCCAAGAATCTGGAACAATTCTTGAGCAAAAATCTGTCCAAAGTATCTTGACCCATGCTGGGCCAAGACTTTTCCGGAATTGCTACTAGGGATGTTTATTATATTGCCTTTATAGGGAATGTAAATAAAAATTAAAGGTTGGGTTGGGAAAAAATAAAATAGTGTAGTAAAATATAAGTTTTTTCCTACGAAATGTATTAAAAAAGTGCTTGTTTAATAACAATAAAAAACTAAATTTTTAAAACCTTATAATTAAAACTGCGTTGTAATTTTCGGGATACCCAATAAAAAAACTGTAAAAGTTTAGTTCTACTTTTAACTTTTCTTAGGAATATTAATATAATTATATTAACGATTTCTACGTAAGAATAAAGCTCAATGTCAATATGTAATTTTATGTAAATATAAAGTACTTAACAAAACAATTATTTTAGTAAAATATACCTTAGGTATGATTTATAAATAACTACATAAAATATCTTTAATCTCATAAAAATTTTTTGTAGTGACAAAATAACTATAAAACCTAGAAACAATAAAAAAACTTGTTTATGAAACCTTCAAAATTGAGGAATGCAAAAGTTAAATTAATAACTTATCCAAAAGGTCTAAAATTAAATTATTAAGTTATTTTTGTTTTTATATCGATAATTAACGTGTTAAAACGTTAAACATAGCATCTGGTAAATATAAAAATAAATTATTACAGGCTAAATGTAGAACGATATTAAAAATGTTATGGTTTTTTTTTAAATTGAAATGCGTCGAAATTAAATATATACATATACATTAGGGTGTTTCATTTAAAACGAAATTTTTTTTTCTTGCTGACACATGAAAATTTTGTTTTTTAGGTTAAAAAAAATTCCCTGAAAATTTGAGCCATTAATTTATATAAAAAGCATATATTTTTAATTTCTATATTTTGGCCGGGTTTTGAATTATAATTTTTATCACCATAATTTCCTGCATAGTATTTACGGTTTTTGAAAGGCCCTGCATCAATTTTGTTTTTGATTTATTTACGTTGATTGTAGTAGCTCCAAAAGTCGTTTTTTCACTTTTTCTCACATATTTTTGAGAAAATCGACCGAATGACTGGTTTTACCGAAAAAGTTCAAATAAAAAACTTGTAGAATATTTAATTTTTGACAAAAAAGGTTCTCACGTTCATATCACTAAAGTGCTTTGTTTAAGAGATATAAGCCATTTAATAACCAAAAACAAAGAAAAAATAGATTTTATTGAAATTTATGTATATGTAATTTGATTCAACAAATATATAATATCAATTGATTACTTAAATTTAACACAATATACATATTACGCTAAACTGTCGGGGTGTAGAATTTCGTGACCAAATTTGAGGGTTTCGACTCATAAAACTGTATTAAGCTTTTTTAGAGTTATAGGTATCCATGTATTGTATGTTTTCATGCACTTTACCTTAGAGTATATAAAATATGGATATACTTTAGTGCAACTATTTTAAAGTGGGTTCCGCGATAAGGGGGCGTCCATTAATTACGTGAAGTGTTTAGGAGGGGGAGGGGTCGAGCAAAACCTCACCCAATCTCATCTGGGGGGAGGGTGGTCTCGGCAAATATCAAGTAATTTTTTTTCCGAAAGAAACAGTGTAAAATTGCGAGAAAACTAGGTTAAATTAAGTAAAAAACCGTTTCTCCACTAAAATTTAATGAAAATTTCTTACCGTGTATGCTACCTATGTAGCTTTAACTTATAATATTAAAAATCTTAAATACTAGTCTAAGACTAGTAGTCTTAAATATAAAAAAAGTAGTCTTAAATATAAAAAACTTCATATTAAATATGTAAATATAAAAACAATTGTTTTTAGTTAACTATGTTTTGAAAGTTTCACGTAATTTATTTACGAATGTATTAAAAAAAACGCCAAAATTTCCTTATGTAACTAATGGATGCTAAAGTCAGCAAGGTCCCTTGAATAAGATACATTTGTAAATAGGTGTAGGAACTCCATAGAGTATGAGGTACTCTGTGACTCACAGACTGTGAGCATGTTTTTTAATCCTACACTGAGAAAACATGGGACAAATAAACTGTGTAGCTAATACTTTTTATTAATAGTGAATATACAGGGTGTTATGTAATAAATGTTATATATTAAAATGGGTTGTTCCTTAGGGTCCATAAAGAAGCACCTGAAACTTTTTTTTTCTAAATTCCAAAGTCTAAAAATAATTTATAATAACCTTTATCCTACCAAAAAGTACGCCACTGATCGACTAGGAACTTTAGGTTAATCTGGTGGATTTATTATGTTATGGTTGGTAACAACAGTGTTTGAAAAATCTCTCAAAAAAGTTGACAAACATTGTTTAAATTTAGCTTAATTACAAAAATGACAAAATTAACAATGCAAATTGTCAATTTGGCGTTTTTATTAATTGTTGGTTATTTCATTTTTGTACTGAAGGTAAATTCAAACAAAATCTGACAACTTTTATGACATAATCTAGTGCATTTCTTTTAAATTTTAGGTTATGTTTTCAAATTGTAAATATCTTAACTAAGGAAAGTGCTTTTGGATTTATTTACACAAATTAAATGTTTAAAGTTTAACCTGTGAGCTGGTCCCAATTTCATCTGAGTAAACAGAGAAAAAAACTGATGAAAAAATTAATTTTGTGGTTATGGATTTCAAATTTCAAAGGTACTAAATTTTCTAATCATTGCTTAAGCTAATAGCTGGATCAGTAAATAAATACAGAAGGGTATTAGAGCTTTAAGGGCGTAAAACTTTTGTATTTATTGAGTTTTTATTTATTTTTTGCAAGAAAAATTTTTAGTAACAATTTTTTACATCTGGCAACGCATAGCTACTTTGTTAGTTGGTATCTATGTACTCACAAAATACAGGTGTGCAGAGGTAAACAAGTGTGTAACCAGTGGCGTATCACAAAAAATATAAAAAACTTATAATGCATATTTTTTCTTTATCTTTGGAAAAATGTTTTTTTTAAATATTTTTCCTTTATTCCTTATGTCAAAAGGTATTCAGTATTTTAATATATAACATTAATTACATAACACCCTGTATTGTTTATTACCACTAAACGAAATAATAACTTTACTTTGGTAAAACTTTATGTCAGGAATAAAAATATATTTAGGATAAATAAACCATGCTTCTGTCCCATATTTAATTATTCTTTTTATATACTTTTTTCTCAGTGTATCTTAAAATACAGTATCTTCAATTTTATTTATAATAATATGATAATGTAGGGTTCCATACAAGAAAAGGTTGATTGATTTTACGAATGTCTTTAATTGTTATTATTAAATATTATAAGTACCTATTATTAAAATTTCGACACCCTATCTTAATTTAGATAATTACAAAAAGAACAAAATCTACCTATTAATTTTACATTAGTACGGTCCTGGGACAGTGCCGTGAACTTTCTAATGACCCTGGTATATTTCAAGTAAATGACGGTTTGTCAACGAGGGGGGAAGAAACCCCGACCCGGAAGTGAAAAAAGTATGACTAACAAAAGTTTTTAGCAAAGCACTTTTGCAATTTTCCATTTACCCAATTTTCCGTTATTTAGTGACTCAATAGTGTGTGTATTTTATCTTTATTTTGTAATGGTTTTCGATGTAAAAAAGTGAAAAAAACATTTATTAACTGATAAAACCACATTAATGACAAACATAACTACAACAAAGCATAGAAAACAAATGATAATACGCAAGCAAGCCGTAAAAGGAAAAACAATCGCAAAACACAAAGCAACATAACCTCAAACCACAAAAATGAAAATTGTCTGTGCCCATTTTCTAGTATTATTACTTGCAAATTGTAATTTTGCGCAAGATATCGATCAAACAGTCAGGGTAAACAAATGCTGCGAAGAACACGAGATTTATATTGGAAGATCATGCACCCCAGTAAATAAAACAAGTCAATGGAAACCTCTGTTTACCTCCGAGATGGAGGAAAGTAACCTGCAAATTAGTTATAAGTAGGTTTATTGAACTAAATGGTTACATTAAGTACAGTGTTTGATTATAGGTTAATAACAGGGGCGCCAGATTGTGGTTCGATGCAGCCATGGTCGATTTATCATTATTTAAACTCAACAGATAAATTACGATTATTACCATCAGGGATTTTGAGACACTTTTTTGATCATACTATACCAGGGGAGGAAGATGAATTACGAGAAGCCATAATTAAAGGGAAAGATTTAATTTATCATGATTATACATCAGGAAAATATTGTTTAGATAAGGTAAACAACAAAATTTATATAAATAACAAAAAATCAAAAACTTTTTTTAGAAAATTGAAGGTGATCTTGAAAGCGAATTCGCATGGGTTTGCGCGCCAAACTCAGAAAAAGAATGGTATAAATCCACAGAGTTCCTAATAAGGAACATTATCAATCCAGTAACCCATGGTATAAACATAGCCTGTTTGATTACAGTGGCGATAATTTATTTCGTTATGGCAACACTGCGGGACCTAACTGGCAACATTGTGACCACCATTTGTATGTGCCTGATTGTCAGCCAATCAGGCGATATGATAAGATTGTTGACTGTTTTTAAAAGTCATATCAGTTTAATAATAACAGGTAAGGTGTTTTTATAAAATTGCACAATAGAATATACATGTCCATAAATAAAGCACACAGTTTTATAGTTATGGTAACACTGTAAGAAAAAACATGTTTTTGATAACTAATAAAAAGGGTTATTTACTGAAATGGTTGTCAGATTTATTTTATGACAGATCATTTTAAATTGTTTTTTAATCCCAGAGAGTTATAAAAATATACTTAACAATTGAGGAGTGATTTTTCAAAAGGTCGTATTTCCATTTGCAACACATTTTCAAAAAACGAATATAACCTGTATAGGTTAGGGTGATATAGATTATTAAAAAAAAAATTCTGATGAATATATAATACTACTTCAGACCTGCAGTCGAATTGGTGTTTTAAATTTAAATATTAATAGCAATGGTATTTTTAAAAATTATTTGGAAATAAGACCTTTTGTATGAAATCATTTTGGAAATGTGCCTTTTTGCTGTATACAAACTGGGAAATATTATTTATTAAATATTTTTATTGAATACCGTTTTAAAAAAATATACGGAAAAATATCTTTATTGTGCTAACAATAATGAAAAATATGTAAGGCTTATATTTTAAGGATATCCATCTCTGGCTCATTACATAAACTCATCACTTCTTCATCATATTCTTGCCATTCAACATCTTGTGCAACATATTCACCATTTAATATAGGTATGCCTTTTAACCATATCTTTGTGATTTTGTCAAAATATGACATTCAAGTAAAAATGTAAATACAGCCTTTTGAAAAATCACTCCTCAATTGTAAAAAATATTGAAAAAGCAAAACAAAATATTGTAAACACAACACATTATACAACAATTTTTTTAATTGTTTTCAGAGACTATCTGTTACTTTAGCCTTTTAGGAGCCTTTTTCTGGCTAAACAGCCTAGGTTTCTACATATGGAAAACATTCAAGTAATAGTATACCTAAACAAATCTAAAAAAAAATATTTTAGCAACGTCTTTTTTAGATCCAGAAATGTATTTCTGAGAATTACAGATGGCAAGAAATATTGTTACTACTCAGCCTATGCATGGTCTTGTACAATATTTTTGGGAGCACTGGCTATATTTGCCCATTTTACCATGGACTATCCCGAGTTTAATTCCAGTCTGACTTTTGAGAAGCAAGAAGAACAAATTGGTAATATTGAATTGTTTTTTGATAATATATTACTTTTTAATTAAGGAGGTTTGGGCAGTGCATTGCAGGGAAAGGGGTAAGGGGAGTTGCTTTTGTACTAAATACATAAATGGCAATAGGCACCTACTTGCAAAAACAAAATTTATTTAGTCATTTTATAACGTTTAATTTAAATAACAGTCAATTTTATATGAACAGCTTTTAAGGAGAAACCAAAAAGCCAAATAAAGTTTTTCAGTTGTTGTTACTAAGATATTTGTTATTAAAAATAAAATCAATTCAGGTCCTAACTTGAGTGGGTATTTTGTGAGGTATTTTGTAGAAATTGACTGCTATCTCATTATGAATCAAGGTTGTTGCTTTCAACTGACATGTCTACAATGTCTACAATTATTTGTTAAAATTTGAAAACTAATATCTTAAATTTTCAATATCAAATATCTTAGTATCAAAAACTTTATTCGACTTTTTGAATTCTCCTTACCAGCTAGCTCTTTATACATGGTGTTTCATAATATATGCGCAGGACTTCAGGATGTGATAGCTCATCCAAAAAGATGAAAAAAGTCGCTATTAACTTACCCTCTAAAATGCACAATTTTCGAGATACAGGGTGTTGAAATTTTAGAAAAAAAATCGTTTTTTTCGAATATCTCCGGAACCGTTTATCGTACAAAAAACAGCTTTTGTAAGAATTTTCTACTCATAATAAGCTATATTTTGTGCCAAAAAAATTTTTTTTTACTCACAATTGGTGGAGATTTTGAAGGGGTAGCGGGTGTTTTTCTCCTCAACTTCTACGCCCCTGAAAAAAGTATGGGTTTGAGAGGCCCATTCGAACCGCCAATGTTTTCTACACAAAAAAGGTACTCTTGGTTATGACCAGCTTTAAAGTTGCTTACAAAAGCTGTTTTTTATACGTAAACGGTTCCGGAGATATTCGAAAAAAACGATTTTTTTCTAAAATTTCAACACCCTGTATCTCGAAAATTGTGCATTTTAGAGGGTAAGTTAATGGCGACTTTTTTCATCTTTTTGGATGAGCTATCACATCCTGAAGTCCTGCGCATATATTATGAAACACCCTGTATTAGCGCTTTAAATTTTTTTTTTAATTTTGACAATCTTTATTTTTGCTCACCCTGAACAACAAAATGGGTGTTTTTTTAACGCGAATCGTATTTATATAACAAGCAAAAGAAATTATGAAAAATGACTTTTCCTTGAAAAATTGAAAATAAATATTTTAACAAGAATAGTTAAGTCCATCCATGGACAAACTGTATACATATACATTGTAACACAAGAAAGTCAATTAAAAAAAAAGGATTTCAACCCGACAACATTGCGAGTTGTTAATAGTTGGTTTTAAGCAGAAAACAAAGAAGGAGTGTCTAATTATTTTGAACAAATAAATAACTTAATACAATAGAGTAATTGCATCAAAAATGAAAATCTCTAAAAACCTTTTTATTGTAATCTAGAGGTAAAAACACATTGCAAAAATATTTTTTTATATTCCAAAAGTTCAACCCGGCCCCAAAATATCAAATTGAAAAAAAGGTACTTTTCAAACGTTCCGAACTCCCGCCATATTGCATGACGTCATAAGCCACAGCTGTCAGAAATCAAGATGTCAACAAATAATAAACACCGATAAAGTTTATGTTTAACATGGAAAACGCGAAACCAAAAATTGGTTGTAAATATTGTTTTGTGCCTTGTTGTACAAATACAACCTGGAAAACTCCTGGGAAAGTTGTCCCTTCAATTATCAAAAGCAAAGTTTATGACCCTACACTGAGAGTAGTTACGGCTCAGCCGTATTTTCTTGAGTTTATTAATATTTAACATACCTATTCAAACCATATACCTAGTAAACGACATTTTATTTTACTTACATTAAAATGATCCTTAAAATGAGCAATAAAATGTTGACTGCGGTGACGATGTTTTGATATCGCGCCGAGCTATTTTAATCCACTTTATCCTTATTTTCCCTTTTGGCACGGTGATATACCTTTTCCCAGGAGTTTTCCAGGTTGTATTTGTACAACAAGGCACAAAACAATATTTACAACCAATTTTTGGTTTCGCGTTTTCCATGTTAAACATAAACTTTATCGGTGTTTATTATTTGTTGACATCTTGATTTCTGACAGCTGTGGCTTATGACGTCATGCAATATGGCGGGAGTTCGGAAACGTTTGAAAAGTACCTTTTTTCAATTTGATATTTTGGGGCCGGGTTGAACTTTTGGAATATAAAAAAATACTTTCGCAATGTGTTTTTACCTCTAGATTACAATAAAAAGGTTTTTAGGGATTTTCATTTTTGATGCAATTACTCTATTGTGTTTTTTTTTAAATAATTTTCTTTAAAAACGAAATAAATCAAACCAAATATCCCTAGATAATTACGTGTTCGTAATCCAGTGTTGCCGGATTTTCTAGATGAGAATGACAGATTAATGGTTTTGGTTGGACACAGTCAACATCATCGTTTATTATTGCAAAACTGTGCGGTGCATACTAGAAAAAAATCTTTAATTTTTTAATGTCACGTTATAAGATATGCATTAATAATTAATTATTAAAGACAAATGATAACAGCCCATGTAGTCTTAGCAACTTTAATATTTTTTACTCTGAAACCATACAGTCAATTTCTACAACTTTGCAAATGTCTTTTAAGTAGACTACTACAATGGTTGTAGTACAACCTATAATTTTTTCAACATTTTCTCATAGCCATTAATATCGTGCCGGAATCTCCTTAAATCCTTGTTTTAAAATATTTTGAGATGTTTCGACGTTTTTTCTGTGAGAAGAGTTAGGACTAAAGATTTTAAATAACCGAAAAACGTATGGGCCCAAATAAAACGTCATTTTTGGAAAAATAAATCTTTTGTTATAAACTAGAAAACATGTTTTAATTGCTAGTCGGGCATTACATTTTAGTGTTCCAAATATTATTAACAATTTTGATAAAAAATGCATTTTATGACTAATGTAATTCACCAGCTAATTGCCTTTGCATTTTGGTAAATCCCTGAAAAACTCATTTAAGTTATTGCTTTGTATTTTAACTAACTTGAGGGTAATACAAAAATATTTATATAATTTTCACTTGAATACCATATTAAATTAAACTTTTTTCAGAGTTCTGGTTTTGATTTGATAATTTTTTAATTATTTTTTTTTCCAATCTTTTTAATGGTCACAAGAAAACGTTTTCTACAATTTTGTTTTGTTTTTTTATTCTGATAAATCTCTAGTCAGGACAACTAACAATTTTTTAACAATCTTTTATATATATAACAATTTTCAACAAAAAAGTCATGATGTCTTTATAGGAAAATAGCAATAGGCAAAACAAAAACATTCTTTTTTATAGGCTCACTTGGAATGATCATTTTCTTCGTCCCTGTAGCATTTACAGTAATAGCCGACATATTTTTCTTTGCAACAACTTTAAAAACAATAAATAAAATGCATACATATGGAAGGATACACCACAAACTAAGGCATAGGTAAGAAATACGAATTTTTCTAAAAAAACATTTTTTATATTTAATTTTTTTAGTTTTCGTATGTACCTCCTACTTCTACTGATCATGACACTTTGCTGGCTATTTTTCCTGTCATCATTCTCAAAATATGATGGCCTGATAAACAGCCACATAATAGTAAACGCATTTTTGGGCCCGTTGATTCTCTACATTTGCGTTTTCAATCAAAAACACGTTTCGTACCTGATACGAAAAACTTGTTGCTACAAAAACTGTTTGTGCAGTTGCTGTAGACCCGAGCCGGAACCTGAATGGGGCGACGAAATGACAGCTATGAACACGAACAATGACTATTGGCACTAAGTTTACTTAAAATATAACGCTAAATTGCCCACAAGTAATCTCATTTAAAGATTAATGTAATGCTCAAAAACTTGTGTAGCTTTGTTTAGAGTTAATTTACTAACAAGTGTTTTTAAAGAAGGCAATAATCAGCACTAAAACTTACAATAAGGGTTTTATAACAATTTTACAAAATGTACTTAATATTTTACAATATAAACTTTTATAGATTTGTATTTCTGACTTTTGATATTAAATTTTGCTAACTTATGGCAGCTAGGTACTTTGAGACCAAATATCATTCCGCAAATGTATTTTCTATACTTTATTATTTTATATATGTATGTATTTATATTTGTGTATGTTTTCACATGTTTAGACTTTAGTATATTTATATGCATTTGTACTTAACATTATTTATATACAATTATTTTTAGTAAATTTTGATAGACAAACTGTTGTTTTTACTGTACCCAACCAAAAAAAAATTAACAAATTATTTTAAGATTATTTTTTGTTTAAATATTTTTTTCAGTCAATAATTTTTTATAATTTTAATGAAGTGGTTCTTACAATAAAACCTGGTGTTCCTAGGGTTGCAACTTTTCATGAAAATTTGAAATTTTTGAAAAGTTGGGTTTTATTTTTCGGAAAAGTTCGGAAAAGTTGGAAAAGATGGAAAAGTTCAGTTTTTTGTAATGTAAACGTATAAAACATAAATAATGCTTGTCAATGTATTAAAATAATTTATTTCTTATGTATTTATACATACATAACAAAATAACAAAAAAAATATATCAAACAAAATAAAATGAACAGACAACATAATAACAACAAAAATAAACTAGGTTTGAATTAAAAAAATCATATTTTTTAAGTAAAAAAAGAATAGAAATTTATACACACCATAAAAAATAATTACAAAAAAATATGGAGCAAAAATTATTAAATTTCTAAATTGTTAAAAATTATGGAAATTTACAAGTAAAAATTTAAAAAGAAAAAGAAAACTTTCTTCTTTTCCACTTTTATATTTTCAATTGCAAATTTCCATAATTAAAAAAAAAATATATTTTTTTCATACACAGGTGTATAAATTTAAAATACGTTATAATAAAAGAATCTTTATATAATAGAAAATGCTGTTAGCAGACACCATTTTTGATAAAGTTTGACATAATGTTATTCCAAAAAACAATGCTTTTAGCATGTTTTACTAAAAACACTGCAAATCTAGCGATTTATATCGAATTTTGACCAAATTATCTACCAAAAAAAATGTATGGTAGTGGAAACACTGGTTAGAAGTCAACTCATTGTTCATTGGCTCCCACCTAATAACTTTTCCAACTTTTCATAGGGGGTGCCAAACTTTTCCAACTATTCAACCAAACTTTTCCTTGTTTGCAACACAGAGATCAGTTTTAGGACTGGTATTTTTTTAAATTGTTTAATTTTTTAATACATTTTCCGAAATATCATTACTTATAAAATAAAAGTTTAAAAATCATATAAAACTCACCTGACTAAATAGGTGTCCCTCAGCCCTTTTAATTAATCCAGACAATTGGCATCTTACAACTAAATGGCAATCATCCAATACAGTGTTAAAAAACCTCCTTGTAGGTAATAGAGCCTCTAAATCGGTGACCAATTCCAAAAACCTTTCACAATAATGAACCTAAATAAAAAATATAGTAATTTTTATGAAAACTTAATTTAAGTCTACATTTTATGTGATAAAATTAAAATTACCATTACACATAAAATATAAGCAATTAAATTAATTATTGAATATAAAAAGTTTATGCCAACATAAAAAAAATAAAATCTAAAGAATCATGTTTTGTTGTATAAAGAAAATGTGAAAATAATGTAGGAAATACAAGACAAATAAGTTTGTAAACATTATTAATTAATTTTAAATATGATAAAATTGCAAAAGTAAATTTAATATTTAATTATATTGATTACATTTAACTTACTTTATCTTTGGGACAGATCCCATGCTCAGTAATGGTATCCAATATATCCATGAATTTTAGCATTAATTTATGCAAAAAAGTCCTTTCCCAAGTCAATCTCTCAATTTGATCTGGTTTGTCTTTTCTCTGGATGGCTCTCCAATATTTTCTCCATTTTGGATACTTCTTGAACTCCTGCTCACGTCTTGCAGGCTGCAATGAAACCCACATTGACAACGACACCAAACGTTTAGCTTGATCACGACATAATGCCTCTTCCATGGAGTTAAAACAATGATTTAAAAACACCAACAAGGCAGTTTGTTCGCGAATATTCACTAAGAGTTCATCTTCCAATAAAGCTTGCAGAACTTGTTGGAAAAATTCGCCAAAGAATTCACTTTGCTTCCGAAAAGCTTGCCAAACTTGTACTCGTTCTCTAAACTTTTCATTCACCATTGCTACAATTGATAACATATGGGCATAAGATGCACCTGGTTTGTAATTTGGCCATAGATAGTTCTCTAGATACTGGCTAAATTCTAATACCATAATCCTGCGTATGGAAAAACTAAAAAACCAACATTATTATTGTTAACCTCTCAAAATTAAATATTTCTTTACTTGCTACCCCTAATATCCTGCATATAAATATCCTCAACAACATTAGGATCATATTCCAAATGACTTTCAGTAGAATGAGGCGCCCAATATTTCTCAGCAAGCTAAAAATTAAGAATGTTTTAAAAACGTTCATTTTCTAGGTTAGAATAAAACAAACCTCTGTAATTCTGTCAGCGTTAATGTCACTGACACTAATGACTGTGGGAGCTTTTGTCCCGGTCATTTTTAAGCCTTAAAATTTAATTCACTGGTAAAATTAAACAATACTTAATTATTTACGGTTACAAGACGAACACATTCAAAAAGTTGACACATTTGTTGTTTGTTTTATGTTCTTCTGTTGGTATCGCTGCGATACTATCGCAGATTATGGTACAATGGGTATTACCAACTTCGTAATATTTGGTGACTTTATTAGCTTTGTTCGCGGAGCCCATCCATGACTAGTTCCGTATCTGTATAGGGTAAATAATCACGAACCATGATACGCATGCGCGATTCGGAACCGATCAAGAATTAACAAATCTCCGCGAACGCGTTTCTAACCGCAACCACGATACACATGTATCGTGACCGCAACCATCAGTCAGCTGTTTTGTGACAAAACTTTTTGGGGAATCTCCTTCCTGATAATTATAGTATTCAGAATTGCTAAATCGCTCTGCTAAATCATCAACAATCTCTTTGCTAACTCGAAAATGCTCCCTAAATAGCTGATCATCGAACATGGGAACAATTTCTTCAAAATATGCAGTATTTTTAGGAACAATTAAATCTAAACTATTTTCTAAATCTTCATCACTGGATGATAGATGATCACTCATCTATAAAATAAGCAAGGAAATGAACAATGCAAGTAAAAAATAAGTATTTCAACTTACGTTTTCGTTTAATAATTTAATTAAAAACAATATAGAACATATAACCTAAAATAAACTTTAAACAATAATGAACAATACGCATGTCTGACAGCTAGTACATGCTAAAATCCTCGGATCGTTTTGACTTGTCAGTAATTAGTTCGAAACTGGTCCCGAAGGCTCCGCGAACGAGTGATCAAATGTCAAATGTTGCCGATTTTTACACCGCGAACGCTAAAATTGCCAGTGCGCATGCGCAGTTGTCGCGGATTGATCACGGATGAGCTCCGCGAACAAAGCTATTATCAATCTAAATAAAGAGCCGTGCCCACAGAACGAACCATAATGGCGTTTAGCTTGGACCTTTTAAGTTATATCCTTTTTCTATGGTTATAACCATAAACCTATAACCCATATGGGTTATATATAGGTATGGTTATAACCCTGGTTATAACCTTAGAGTACTCTATGGTGTATGTATCTTGATGGTTATAAGGATATAATATTCTTACTACAGCCCAGATAACATTCGTGAGTTCACCGTGAATGCACGGTGAAAAATATTGCTTCACGCGTGAATTCACGGTTGCTAAAAGATGCGTCCGCCCCTGGAATTCACCGTGAATGCACACGTGAAGATATATCCGCCCATTGAATTCACCGTGAATGCACACGTGAAGATGCGTCCGCCCCTTAAATGCACACATGAATTCACCGTGAATGCACACGTGAAGATGCGTCCGTCCCTTAAATTCACCGTAAATGCATGCGTGTTCTAAATTCGCGCGAAGAAAATGAAATAAGGGTGCATGTTCAGAAAACATATTTTCCCCTATATAGTAAAATAAGTTTTCTGAACAAAAAATGTGCATTCACCATAATTTCAATTTTTTCGCGCGAATTTTAGCATGCATGCGCACTCACTTCGAGCTTCACTTGTGCATTTACGGTGAATTCAAGGGGAGGACGCATCTTCGCGTGCGTATTTACAGTGAATTTCGTGCGTATACTCATTTTTTTTTGCACTTAATTTTAAATTGGAACACAAAATAAAACGTGTTATTTTTTAAAATAACAGATTTTGTTATATTTGTAAATAAAGTCAAATGAAAAATGTTAAATAAAGATGTGATTTATGTCCAATTGGAGAATATTTTTTTAGACAATTATGCCATCCACGCCGACGGTGGTCTAGTGGTTAGTGCTGCTGACTACAAGCCGGAGGTCGTGGGTTCGAATCCTACCAGGGGTATGGCTGTTTATTTGTGTTTGTCCTATTGTGTATTAGTCCTTCGACTTTAAACCCGCGGTCCGTTCCTACCCCTAACCGGCACAAGCCATTCAGTTGGCTTATGGGACTTATGAGTATAAACTTTGTATAATTAAACTTGAGGTACAATAGTATACTGAAATAAAACACAAAGTGTTATGTTGTAAAGTTTATTCCGAATCAACCTCAGAGGTTTCAATGTCCTCTTTAACCTTAAAAAAAATATGAATTAATTATAACATCAATAATACTAATGAATGCATACACATGAGTATAATACTGTATAATATTTTATTATAATATATATTATGTATCACATATATGAAATTACATCTACAGATAAGTATACTTACTGATTCATCACTGGACACATCATCAAATGAGTCAAATAACTCATCATTTTTTCCCTTTATTTTAATTTCTTTTTGGTCCTTAAAAAATATATAAATTATAACATTATTATTGGATTAAAGCATTTATTTACAAGACTCATTTTATAAAATTTAATAAATATTATTTAAAAAAACGCTTAGAACAAAAAAAAAATATTTGTTTTTGTGTATAAAGAAAAGTCTTGCGATAGCTAATAAAAATATTCTGTATTAATTAATTAATTCATTTATTTTATTGATTAAAAAATTCTAAAATATTTGTCGACTGTATATTTACTAATAAAAATATTAAAATGGATGTCATATTTTGAATTCAAATAAAAACAAATCATTCAAACCAATTCAGCCGAGCGCGGCTTCGACTCATGAGGCGCGGAGCCTTGCAGTAAAAAATTAATAATGTTTAAAGAAATGCCGGGCAGTGAAATTTTTTTTTTCAGGATATGAAACCTTTATATCCAGTACATGCAACCATGAAAAAAACTTGATTATTTGATAGAGACTTTATCAAAAATTTGAATTGTATATTTCAATGATCAAAAAAAGTATAAAAAATTAAAAAAAAAGTCCTGAAAATTTCACTACGAAACTTTTAACAGTTTTTTCACAATGAATATTTTAATTAAAAGTGAGAAAAATCTTTGTTAAAAAAAAACTTTTAAAATTAAAATAAAAAAAATATATTTTAAGGAAATATTGTTACTAATGACTACTAACGATTGATGTAGGTATTAAAATTTAAATTCTATTACCAAGTGGAAAATGGGGGGTCCACTTGACGTGATCTGACTCAAAAACAAAAACAATGAATAAAAACTTTATAAAAAAATATAACCACAATAAAGCGTTATAACCATGGTTATTCATTGTTTTTGTTCTTTTTGCAATAATTGTAACAATTATTATCAGTGCACTGATCTACTATAGTATATATACAATAAAATTCTTATCTTAAATTTGATCATGCTAAAATATAAAAATGTCAAACTTACCTTTGGAAGTCCTGGCTAGCAACTTAAGTATTTATTGAACTGAATACCTAGGTATATTATAAAACTGAAAAACTGAACCAAGATACATACACCTTGAAACTGAACGTTTATCTCTGAACCATAGAAAAAGGATATGAACTGAACGATTTACCGGTATACAGGATATCTAGCTAGATGTTTACCATATATGGTATTCTATAGAAAACCTCGTGGCTGCGTACGCACACTAACGCTGCAGTGTTGCAGGATGATTTTCGTGAAAGTTCCCCACCAAAAATTACAAAATACTAGAAATTACCCACACGAGTAAAAATTTCTAGTACATTTGCTCAATTTGGAAAAGTGAATTAAATTTTGAATAAATTAAGAGAAAAATAAAAGGATATAATTAAAGAATTATGTTTAGTTAGTAGTTATACAATATTATTTACTGAAAATTTCTTTGAAAAGTAAAATTTATAAAATACCTGCTTCAATATTTTACTTGCAAGCATGATGAAATACGCGATTTTCGGGTCAAATACCTGCAAGCGGCAACCCTGCATTTAGTTGAAATGTGACGGCCATAGGCGCATGCGCACGAGTGCCCGCGTATTTGGTTTTGCAATTATTATATATAATTATTATTACCTATAGGTATATTAAATATTAATAACTGATATTAATTAAAAAATGTACTTTTTTATTTTCCTTTTAATAAAAATCTTTAATGTTATGTTTTTTCTTTCTTATTTCGAATTCGGTCTTCAAATTTATTTTGATAGGGTAGGTATACCTTCCCCATCAAACAGAGGTATAGCTAACCTATCAAAATAAATTTAAAGATCTTTAATTAAACGTGCTAACAGATCTGTATAAAATCTTGGAGATTCACGGCGTGCGTCCGGTGTGAATTAAATGTGCATAAGAAATTTTAGGGGGCATCCATTAATTACGTGAGTTGTTTAGGGGGGAGGGGGTCGAGCCAAACCCCACCCAATCTCACGTGGGGGGAGGGTGGTCTCGGCAAATATCACGTAATTTTTGAAAAAAATGAAACAGTGTAAAATGGCGAGAAAACTGGGTTAAATTAAGTATACAATTATAACAATTTTTTTTTAATAAATCTTATGGAATCAATCACAGATTAACTTATTTACATTAAAACAATGCATTTTCCCAAGGGGAGGGGGGAGTCGAAAAATCGCCAAAATTGCCTCACGTAATTAATGGATGACCCCTTATCTGTGAACTTACGGTGAATTCACGATGCACTTAATTTTAAAGATTCATGGCGTGCGCACGGTGTGAATTTAATGTGCATTACGAATGTAATTTGGAAACTCACAGTGGATTCACTATTAATTAATTTTTAAAGATTCACGGCGTGCGCCCTATGTGAATTAAATGTGCATTACAAATGTTATCTGTGAACTCACGGTGAATTCACGATGCATTCAATTTTGAAGATTCACGGCGTGCGCCCGGTAGGAGTTTAATGTGCATTCAGGAATGTAATTTGGAAACTCACAGTGGATTCACAATGCATTCATTTTGAAAGATTCAGGGCGTGCGCCCGGCATGAATTATATGTGCATTAAGAATATTATCTGGGAACTCACAGTGAATTCACGATGAATTCATTTTTAAAGATTCACGGCGTGCGCCCTATGTGAATTAAATTTGCATTACAAATGTTATCTGTGAACTCACGGTGAATTCACGATGCATTCAATTTTGAAGATTCACGGCGTGCGCCCGGTAGGAGTTTAATGTGCATTCAGGAATGTAATTTGGAAACTCACAGTGGATTCAC